CGGGTTTCGCTTGCATTCCCAAGTTCCCATAGATTTAGGACCCATTTCCATTTGGGAGGGTTCCACTTTGATTGATCTGCTTATGAAGAAGCTGCTAAAACAAGCTTCACCGGAAATCCCATTTTTTGGTTGAATGAATAATGTATTTGGGATCTAGGGTTTTTCACCAAACATGGCTTCTAAGCAATTCATGTTGAGTGCACCCTGTAAAGCTGGAGGTCGCTCCGTGAAAGTCCTCCCAAATAGGATTGTCAATGGATTGAGTTTGGGTTGAATCCATTCGACTCAAAATCAATTTGAATGGGTTGGATGGACCAATAAGATATATTGAATTGATTAATGCTCCAAAGTGTTTATTTCATTGAATGTGATCTATCTGTGGACGGGGTCGGATTGAACCAATATCTGGTCCATTGACAGAATAGCATGGGTGTCAATGGACCAGGTTTGGTTGGATCTAATATAAATTACAACTAATTTGAATAGATTGAACAGTCCAGCAATTGAATTGGACCAGTCCAGAATGGTCCAAAGTATTCATTATATTGGATTGGACTTGGCCTATTTATTCCATTGACAGCCTTACTCTCAAATGGGCACTTTATTTACATTTTTTTTTCTTTTCTTTTTCAAAAGGGCTACATAACAACCTTCCACCAAAAATCCTTAATCTCCCAACCCTAGTGAAGGCATGACTCGGGATTCCTGCCAACAAAACACATTCCGACACCTTTAACCCTACTAACATGATCTAACATTGCACATCTCACCAAAGATCGGGACTCATCATAAAAATAGGACCCATTAATATTATTATAAGATGTATAATATGAGATGATGTTGGTAAGGTATTAGAATATGTTTCATTGGCTGGAGATCCGGACAGCAAGTAAACTGTCTCCTTCCCATATGTGTAAATATTTGCTAGGTGAATGGGGCGCCTTGTCATAATAATCTAGTTATTATATTCAATTAGGACAGATGAGGGAACTAGAAAAAAAAATGGTATAATTAATGTCAATCCGGTTCATTTTATGCCTTAATTTTGGGAATTGGTCAACACAACTTGGTACCACTGATTCTAAAACATTCATAAATTAGAGGGCTGTTGGGCAAGTTGGCAAGTTTTCTGTGTTGGGCATCCGCATTTCATGAAAAAGGGGGCTCACACCTCTTTCCAATGAACAATGCTTTCTAGAAAGAAAATTATTATTTGTTTTTGGAAATAGTTGCTTAAATGTTTTGCACACTTTTCAGTGGCATGGTATGACGACATTTTGTTACGTTTCCTAGAAGCGAGTAGGGGATATTTATGAAAATGAATTCTAAAATAAAATTAAAAGAGCGTAAATTACTTATATGTCCCAAGTTCCATGGGGTTTTGATCAAATGTAAAGACCTCCCCCTTGGCTTTGCCTATCAACTTATTAATCTCTTGTGTAGTTTAGGATAAATTATTTATTTCACTCCACCACTAATAATAGGAATGCCATTGGATCGGGTTAAATTGTAAATCTACCTTGAACCAAAGGGTTATGTTTATTTTGGTGGTGGCTGGATTAGGGTTTTGATTTTTAAACCCAACTTGAGATATGCAGCCTTGAAGTTTAGAGTTTCTTTATGTTTATTTTGATTTTTTTCGCTAATCAAAGGAATAATACCTTAGAAGCTATAAAACAATTTCCAAATTAAATTAATGGCTTTTATTTTTTTTAAATGTGTTTAAAAAATACAATTGTGAGGCTGCGGATTGGGTTGGATTGGTATCAAGTTTCCCTCTATAAGTTGGGGGCAACTTTGAAAATATCATGTTTCTGAGTTGGTGCTAAGGCAGGAACATTAGGAGATCGGATTTTCTATGTGCCTCACAGCACATCCTATCATGCATTGGGAACAACTATGGTACTTACTGGTTATTTATTCACAGGAGATGTTTTCAATGCATGGTGGATGTGCCAATGAGGCGCCCATTTGTGAGGAGCAGATCCAGTCACGAATATTAAAGGGTTGGGTTAGTGTGAACGCAAACCCATGACGAACAATTCAAACCCGACCCATTGGCATAGTAAACTGATGTGTTGTTAATTTGCTTATATGGACTCTGGATTTATTAGGTACATCATTCAATGAGCACTTAATAAATATTATGACAATTGTATCAAAAGCTGTTTTTAATCTTTTCTAAGGGTAGGCTGGGGGTAATTTAAGGGACAAGTATCAAAAAATTTTCTAAGTGCTTACTTAGTGTGCTAACCACGTGTGCTACCTGATTCAGACTTAGAGGTGTAAATGGATCGGGTCATGATCCAATCCATATATATATATATATTGTGTGTGTGTATTTATAAACATATTTACTTGTAGAAAGACATGTATATTGATATATTTATTAATAAATATGTTTATAATGTATTTTTTTTATAATTTTTTTTATAAAAAGACACGTATATATTAATATATATGATGAAAATAGTTGAAAAAAGTATTTATATTTTTTTTTTGTTTTTCTTTATACAAACATTTATGATTTTTCTTTTAATAATTTATTAAATTTCTTATAATTTGAATCAAATCAGATCATATTCGAATATCTAACATTTTTAACGGATTTGGATTTGAATCACCATTTGTAAGATCCGTCGGATTTTTGAATTGGATTAGATCTTGGATTTTGCTATCAGATCTTATTCGAATTCAATCTGATCCTCATTTGCATCCCTATCGGGATTGGCTGATATGACATTTCAAAAATTTTAAAAGTTCAGTTTCTCTTTTTAGAAGTCTTTTTGTATATTGTATGGACAAAATTGCCCAAATTTATATTGCTTGAATGGACACACTTTTCCTACTTAATGTGGTAATGAAAAGTTGAGAATAGGTTTCGGAAAAATAAAATAAAATAATTGAAATAGTAAAACTGTGGAAGGAGTACAGGGCAAAACCTTGTATTTTGTATTATCTTATATGTATTTCATTCTTTTTCAAATCCAATAAAACCTCCACACAACTTGACCTTAAATTAAATAGATGAGGTGTCTAAAAGAGCAGGGCACATTCCTAGTGAAATGACAAAGAAGCCAAAAACAAACCAAGAAGTTTACTATATAATTTACCTTTAATGGAAGGGTTTTTTTTTTCGCTTCGCGGGGCTATACAAGAGTAGCCCATCCCCTTTCCCTTAATCCCCCAACCCCTGGTGGCAGCGAGATTTGATTCCAAGTCTCTATTCTGATGAATCAGAGAACCTACCAACTGAAGCCACAGTTGTAATTAGAGCACTTTTTGAATTTAGGGGTTGGGGCACATCCCAAGTGAAATGACAAAAGAAGCCACAGTTCAGAAGGCAAAATATGGTTGTTTTTTTTTTTTTTTAAGTGTAAATTATATATCTTCTGTTTTGCTTAAACTACTTAAATTAATACACCTAGGAATGGCAACGGGGCAGAGTGGGGACAGGGGGCTTCTCCCCATCCCCTTCTCTGCTAACGGGACAAGGTCATATCCCTGTGGGGACCCCCATTCCCCATGATTCTTTATAATGCTAATGATGTTGCTTTTATTTTTTTATTTTATTTAAATAATAAAAATAAAAATAATTAACATTTACAATCGAAGTAGTAAATATTCAAATATATTCAATCATATTTTTAAAAATATTAATATATAGATGTATGTTTACATATTTACATATATAGCATATGCATATATATACATGTATATGCAGAGTTCTCGTAGATAGGAGATCGGGGCCCCCGTGGGGCGGGGAATGCTCTTCCCGTCCCTGCCCCATCCCGGCTAACGGGGATGAAAATTTCCCCATCCCCATCCTTGCAAGGGGAAAGTCATCTCCATCCTTACCCCATTCAGGACGGATCTCTACCTAAATCGAAGAAATGAAAAAAATTGCCATCCTAAATATACCGTGTAGTTTTTTAAACTATTAAAAAATACGCTATCGGGTGGCCCACTTTACATAAATAGGCCCTCCGGAAATGAAGCATTTTTGGCCATTCACATATTTTATCTTAATTCCGGCTTTGCCCTTCTATTATCATTTTGCATAGTATATATTTTCACGTTTGGGAGAAACAAGGATGGACGATGGCAGATGGCTACTCTGGTTTCATAACAAGTCGCTGATAGTAACTCAGTTCTGAAACTGGGTTTCTCTCTCTCTCTCTACTTCAACGTCAAAACTGGGCCTCTCTCTCTGGTTTCATTGTGAGAGAGAAACCACGTGGTATATTTCTTTGGTTTCATAACCAGAGAGAAAGCTCTATCTATTTATTTATTTTTCTACCAAAACACTTTATTCAAGGAAGAAAAGATTCAATACAGGAAGGAGGGGACGAGAAATCCACTCCTGTAAAGTGTAGACCATCAGACCTCAAAAAACTCTTGGACAAAGAATGAATATAATCAAAACAACATTGATCCTTCTAGAAATATGTTTTAACTGAAAGCAGCTTCCTAGAAGATAGCAGACACCGAGCATCATCAATGAAATGAGGAGATTGATGAAAGTCATACTCATACAATCACCCACAGTCAGAGTTCTTTTCCCCTGAAAGTTAACAGCCATCTACACTGCCCAAAAAACAGCATAAGCTTCCAAAAAAAAAACAGCCATCTTCACTGATAAGCCTCCTCCGCAGAACATGAAGAAGTAACAGCTCGAAGGAACTAATGACCATCACAATGAGAGAACGCTGTCTGTATCATTGGCCGAACAGTAATGACACGGACCGTCAATGGTCAATGTTCTTTTAGAAACCACAGCGTATGTCAAGGAATGTTTTTCTTTACGGAAATAAGCAACATCCCTTCAAGGATTTTCTGGAAGAACAGTCCTTTAAGGATATTTTCTCGATTAACAGTCAAGGGCATGTTTTGAAAATTAAAAAACAATTAAGGGTCTTTCTGTCCTTATATATTCGTCGCACACGTTATAAATTATGTAGACGGTGGCACCCCAAGTCTTATTCTCTCCAGCGCCATACCCCATGTCGCCAAGCTCTGGTCTACGATGCCGAAAATGCATCTCTCTGTGCTCCTTGAGACTGAAACACTGAAGCTTAGCTAGTTTCTTTCCATGAGACTTTCATTCCCCACTAGTTACAGCAGCAGAGTTCCATCCCTCCGCTTCCTCCCGGCGATCAAACCGGCGAGACAGAGATGCAGGTGGGTTCGCATGGAGTCCACCACACGCAGACAACGTCGAAAGGACAAGGACAATGATAAGAATAAGATCGTCGTCATCATGGGTGTTACTGGTACAGGCAAGTCCCGCCTCTCCATCGAGATCGCTACTCGATTCCCCGCCGAGGTAATCAACTCCGACAAAATGCAAGTCTACAGGGGCCTCGACATTACCACCAATAAGATCCCAATGCACGAGCGGCTCGGCGTTCCCCACCACCTTCTTGGCGTTGTCGACCCGTCTGACGGCGAGTTATCCTCCTCCGAGTATCGTTTACTTGGCGCCTCCGCCATATCAGCTATCTCTGCCCGCCACCGGCTACCACTAGTTGTGGGTGGGTCAAATTCGTTCATTCACGCGCTCGTCTCGGATCGATTTGATCCAGGCTCGGACGGATTAGACGGGTTAAACTCGGTGTCCGCCGAATTACGTTACGATTGTTGCTTTCTCTGGGTGGACGTGTCGTTACCGGTGCTGTACAAGTACCTTGCCCGGCGAGTCGACGACATGCTACACGTGGGCATGTTTGAAGAGTTGGCCGTGTTTTATGAGCAGGAGGGAAAGCGCAAGTCACACACGGCGCGCCGCGTTGGGATAAGGAAGGCAATCGGCTTGCCGGAGTTCGTGAACTATTTTCGGGTGTTCCGGCCGGGTGATGGAATGACAAGCACGCTGACGCAGCTGGAGGGAGAGGTGGAGAGACGGGTGCTCTTCGAGGAGGCGGTAAAGGCAATCAAGGATAACACAAACGAGCTAGCGAAGCGACAGTTGGAGAAGATCCAAAGGCTAAGATCGGGAGGCTGGGATTTACAGCGGTTGGATGCCACGGAGGCGTTCCGAGCTGTTTTGGCGTCAGATTCCGTCAAGTCGTCGGAAATTTGGGAGAGTGAAGTATTGGGACCAAGCGTGAAGATCGTGAGCCGCTTCTTAGCGTAGTGACAACATCTCCCTACTTGTCATCGGGAGATGTTCCCAGTATACGATGGGATGTGCTGTGGGACGTGCTGGGGCGATGATGTAAACTATAGCGTAACTAGTTCTTCCCCTATTTCATTCAAATATTGTTTTCCGAAAAATTGTATTATTACATATTAGTACCTTTTACTATAGGCTTAGTCTCACTTTATCCCCAAATTTCAAAATATGTAAATCCAATATCTTCTAAAACATGTCAATCTAATATCTTCTAAAACATGTCAACTTTAATGCTAAGTAGTCATCAGTTATGTGTATCATAATATCATGTGAGATTTAAAATTTTTGAAAATATTAAACTAAAACACTACTCATCATCCCCTTTCTCAAGAAGACGAAAAGCAGGTGTAAGTTTTGGGTATCAAGTTTTACAAGAAAATTGTAATGCTTGTAGGGCCTGATGTCTGGATTCAACATTAGTTGAAAAATAGATGGTTCAGACTTCTAGGAGAAAGGTATTTGAATGGTTGATAAAGAAAATTAGATAATACTTAAAGGGTATTCGTGTTTTTTCATATGCCACTCAACAAGTTGATACATTTTTTAAATTTAGGTACTAAATTGACATGTTTTGAAGTTTGGAGAGTAAAGTGAAATTAGGCCTAAAGGGTACTAATATGTCATTTTCCCAAAACAACATTTGGATGAATGGGGGGGGGGGGGGTACTACGTTAAGAAGCAGCTCATGATCTTCATGTTTGGTCCCAAAACTTCACTCTCCCTTTAAGAAGCAGCTCATGATCTTCATGCTTGGTCCCAATACTTCACTCTCCCAAATTTCCGACAACTTGACGGAATATGATGTCAAAACAACTCACAATTTCCCTTAGGTTGCATTTGGAATTGGTGAAAAGTTTACACCGTTTTGGTTTTGTTGGCATTTGGAAGGAGTGTAAATAAAGATAGATGTAAAACTCCACTTTGGTTTAGATTTGTTTGCGTTTGGATGGAATGAAATTTTACATTGTGAATCAATGTAAAACCTCATCAAACATAAAGTTTTACATCGATAATCGATGTAAATACAATACTATATCGGTTTTATTGATGTAAAACTTTACACTTTTTTATCACAGATTTTAAAATGTAACGGTCACTTATTATATAGTTCAGTGTAAAACGTCATCAATGTATTTTTACATTAAGACACACAAATTTTACCAGCGAGAAGAATGAAGCATGAATGAGGATGAATTTGGTTGGAGAAATTTTAGGAAACCAAAAAATAAAACAAGAATTAATTCCAAACATTTTTTTAATTATAATATATTTAAAAATTAAAGTTACAAGAAAGTTAATTGGAACCAAAGAGGCTCAGTTGAACCGGGTCCAAGAAAGTGGGTTGGTTGGTTAAACTAAACAGGCCAATTTTAGGGCACATCTAGTGATATTACAGCTACGAGATGAGCTAAAGAATCAATGGTGGCGGAAATAAAGAAGTGTGTTTGGTTTGCATGGAAATGTGAAATGGAAATGGTCCAAAAGTGACCTTTTCGCGGAAGCAGTCCTTTCTGAGACAGATTTGGAGGATCATGACAGTGCATCCTGATGTGTGTTCCGTTGTTGGGTGACGTGGGCGTGGGGCGTGGGCCCACACCCCGCCTAATGGATCCGAGGGAGGATTGGTAGATCAATAGTGCAGCCCATTGTTTGTTAATTGTTTTATTTTAGTACAGTTGGATATTATTCATCGTGCGTGTTCTTTTAAATAGAGGAAGAAAGGAAAGCCAATTAGCCCAAGCAATCATCTTGATTGGGTTTAGCGCCCTACAACTTCCAAAGGTGCAAATTCCGAGCCCGGATTTGTTAGAGACAAAAATCATATACACTGGACTGAGTTAACCATCACGAGTGAATAGGTCAGTGTTCAGAATAGATGGAGCTCACAATAAACATTGACGTATTCAGTAGCCCAATCCAATGCATACAATCTTGTATCCAGCTCATCAGGACGTGTGAATTTACAAGCTGGTGGACCTACAACTTGCCAAGGTTCAAGTTCTTAAGCTCTCCGGCTATCCAGCTCAGCTATAGCTGTATTTGGAGATTTGGGATCCAATCCTGCTTTCACATGTGTATGTGTGGTGGAAATTGGAAGAGAGAGATTTGGAATTTAGGCTATTTAAAAAAGTATCAATAATTATCAATGCATGAAGTTGAACTATAATATACCCAAAACACATGATATTGGAAAAATTTATAATCAATTCAACGCTCTTACGTGTCTCTTTTGATTCTCATACATTTATTTAAGGAAAAATTCCACTTTAATTTAAATTTGTCACTACAGTATCCAAATTTTTAAAAAGTGTCAAATTGGTCCTTATTGTTAACTGACTGTTAATTATCTGATCACGTGATAACATATGCTACTTAAAATCTTTGAAAATATCAAAATTACTCTTCCAAAGAAGACAATGTTCATTCTCTGGCGAAATGTCGAATGGCGTCTCTGCAACAACTCATCAACCTCTCGTTCAACTGGTTCACCAGAGAGATTCCAGCTAGCTTCAGGAACCATAGGATATGCATGGCAACGCCCATCATGCATGATTCTAACCATAGAAGATGGGATGCTTGTTACGTTGTAAGCCTTGTGGCAACGTCTGTCTCATGCCATTGCCTCGGTATCCAAGATGAGCAAACTTTGCTAATTCCAAAGCACTCCATTCTCAGAAGAAGAACAAGAAGAAAGATGCAAAGGGATGCATTCAACTATGCAAGATCTAGGACTGTCATGGTTACAGCAGTAGTGAAGCCGATAGCATGTAACCCTGTTCTTGATTAATCAATGTTCAATAAATAGGTTGCTTGTTGAATGCGGACCATGGTTTTTAAAACCGACTTGGGGATCGAATTGGTTAGGGGTCCGGTTCCTAGGTTGAAGGGTCTGATCGTTCTAACCGATCAAATGATTAAGCACTCGGTTTAACGGTTCACTGACCAAAATCAACAGTTTTGGAGGAAAATCTGTTTCCGGTTTTTCCAGTCCAATCCAATTTTGAAAAACATGATGCAGACACACACCCAGTGCAAACAGACTGGACCTAATAACTAGGTTAATACAAATCACCGCGGTACTGAACCTGTTGTTGAAGTTCTCATCTGGTTTCCGAAGATTTTGAACTGGTTCATCAATATTCAACAGCTTTCACCCCAGGCTCAGGCCCAGGCCCAGATGATAAGTTCTCATCTTGGTTTAACCAATCATCAAGGACAATTCATACTCAAGGGATGGAGGTGCATGTTGGTACAGCGAAATGCAAATAGGCTTGAGGCAGTGTGAGCTAAGCTGATTGGTACACAATATAGGTATCTAGCTCCCGGGTGACACTGCCATCTCAGTATTTTAGCTGCCCCACCACGAGCTAACCGCCCATCTCATATTATTTGGTACCGTCTGAATTTGATTATCATCTGAGCTCGTCAGCGAGTTCATTGGAAGACAAATCCAGATACCGGAGATTTTGTGAGATAACATCAGAGATTCCTCTGGAAAGAAGAAAAAAAGCTAGTTTATTTTTAATTAACAGTCAGTTTTAAGGTAGAAGACAATGAACAATATCTTATTTTGAAGGGTAATTTTGATATTTTCAAAAATTTTAAGTTATACATGTTATCATGTAATCAGATAAGTGACAGTCATTAATGGCGAGGACCAATTTAACATTTTTTGAAAGTTTGAATACTACAGTGACAAGTCTGAAAGTTCGGGTACTAACTTGGCATTATCCCCAAAGTTCATGGTACTACAGTGGATTTTTCTTTTTATTTAAAGAGAATTTTGATCGAGAATTTTTTTTTTAAAAAAATAAAATACTATAATTTTATGAGATTTTGAAAAAAAAAATGTAAAGGCTGAAGGTACCCCTTCCCCCTATTGGGTTCACATAAAAGATTATAGGAGTTTTGATTGGTTAAAGTCCTTCTCGTTCTAGATTTTCATGATATATATCGTATAATATGTACTAATTTTCGACTCCATTGATATGCTAAATACTAAGAGTTAGGCATTTGGCTACTTTTGAAGATTGAGACTTTTAATTTACTCAAAACTTGACTTAGTAAGATTATGAAAATATGTATGCAATGGAGACAATGAGAGATGACGCATTCCTCTCCTCTCGTCTTTGATCATATATATGCTTCATCCCAGTTCTGCTGATGCCAACAAAAGGAATCTGATTGGTATGTTCTGATCAATGACTCATGATGATGTATGATGATAGAGAGACATATAGTAGAGACTTAGTAATTGTAACGAGCAACAACACTTGTATCAAATTGACATGGAATGCTACATCTGGTTTAAAAACAGTTTGATTGAGAGCATCTTCCTCCCGACTGGTCTCTGGTTCAGGCGTTCAGGCTTTCTTGCTAAGTAATTGGTTCCAATATCTGGATATGGAGCAGCTGGAGTTCGTTTACTCTTCAATTAATGGATTTCAATAACTAATAACAATTTCCAATCTATTTGGGGGTGGGAAGCTTGCCCAATACACACACACAAACGGTTTGCGTGTATTGAAAATAAAGCTCTAAGTCTATATTAAAATTTTAACATGAAACGTAGTCTACTGAACCTTCTTTCCTCATACATGTATTGACTGAATGATTTGGTGCAATGAATTTGCCAGGGCTTCATATATATATTGTTATGAGCACCCGCACCACACGATAGCAGCATAGGCAGTATCGCGCACACGATCGGCACTGCACGGCAGCGGCACCATGAGCTGCGCGCACGCACTGCATGGCAGTGGCACCGCGCGGTGGCGGCACCACGAGCTGCGCGCACGCACCCGGCAACAGCAGAGCGGGGCCCACACGATAGATCACAGGGGTGGGCCCACCCTTATCTAGACACGTCAAGAGAACTCGCCTCTAACCTTCCTTGTCTCTTATCCCTTATCTTATCTTATCCTTATCCCTATCTTAAGTAAGAATTGTGTTACCATTAGGAGTAGGTAATTAGTAGTTTGAGTTCAAGATGAAGTTTGAGTTTAATTAGGAATTTCCTTCTGTAATCTCCTATTTAAGGAGCCATGAATTGAAATAAAACATTCAGTTTTCCAGTCAAGAAAAGAGTGAGGAGAGTTCGGGTGGTCTCTTGAACAAATCACCCCCTCAGTTCGCCACCA